CCGATCTTACATTGCAGCGCAGAAGCAACCCTTAACAAACCACGATGCGACTGAAGAAGACGCAGGGACTGCAACTGTCTTGTGTTGGTGCCGGCAAGGTCCGGGGTGGAGTAACGGATAGCCCAACGCCCGAAGCCCGCGACCCTAACTAGTAGAAGAGTGATTGCTAGATTGCTAGATGCATATGGGGTCCTCATACACAGGACACAGTTTGAAGACTTGAAACAGATAGTACACCGCATAGATGCACTATCACCAGCAGTCTTTTCGTTGTAGAGTGCTTTTTCCATGATCTCTGAACTTGCAAACTCACGAATGAAGAATACATAGGACGTTAGTAGTGGAACAGGGTCTTGAGGCATAATCTAGTACAGAACACATAATGAGGGAACGCAAGGAACAGTATCGGTAACGATTTAAGCCCCTATCTTGGACCTTCACCTCTACCTCTTCAGAGATCCCGCAGCTTCTATATCTGGCGACGCATCTTGCTTTGAGCAGAAGCATCGTGGTATTCCTTATTCGACCAATACAAGGCAAATAGTATTGTAGTATTCGAAGAATACAAGGCTGAGCATACCTGCCCTCACTTTTCGACGCGCCTCGCTGTCTGCGCATTAATCTTCAAAAGTTCCTGGTTCCTGCTTCTCCATCAGGCCTCATCGGGGTACCCAGGTACGCCTGGCATCTGACCGAGGCCCACGCACTACTGATGTCTTATCAAGCCTATTCCCGCTGAGGACGCGAGAGGTCATGGTAATGTATAATGCAAGTGGAAACACTGTGCCATGATAGGAGAAGTCCAGAGAAGAATCTCAGAACAACATCTGAAACGAAAGCACACCCTACTGCCTGAAAAGTGCTATGGACCTCCGGTCCAGGCACGGCGATGGGCGCACGCCGGGAAGATTCTTGCAAGAGACGGGGAGGGCCTCACTGGCCCTCACTTCTTCTGTCGCTTGGCCCAGACACTGCCCGTGTCGATGAGACCCGCCTTAGCCATGGCCTTCGCCTCCACGGAGGAGACTTCGAGGTAGCCCTGGGAGCTGGCCGGGTTCAGGCCTGCAGAAGCCTCCATGGAGGAGTCCTCCTCGAAGTAGATGCTCTGCGCGCAGTCCGTCAAGGCCAGGAAGTTCATGTGGCCCTTGTGCAGCCCGAGCTTGACCTTCATGCACCAGACGATCTACGATGATTTAAATGTCTTGCTTACTATCCGTAGCTCCCTAAGGACATCCTGCACTACAGCATATGCCGCATGAACTAGATCGCCGGGATTCTGTTCCACAGGCAGGCTCTGCCAGCTGCCACACCGCGTTGATGGCAGTGCGTGTGGAGGGATCGAAGTAGCGGCCGTCGTAGATCTGATCGGAGATGTGTGCGCTAAGCTGCCGGAAGAGAAGAGTAGACCTGACGAGTGGAATGAAGGCTGCGACTAGGTTTACCGCACTTGCTGTTCCATTTTTCTTGTAGCCCAGTATGACCTTTCAGCGCACATATTTAAGAACTTATCCATTGCGGTTGCTATTATGATGGTGTGACTGTGACTGCTGAGGAGCTCTTTTGCTTCATTTCAAAAAATCATGACTGCTGTGCTTCATGATGAGACTGCCATTGTTGCTACCATTACGAAGACTACGGTTAGCATCAGCATCAGTACGAGTATTAGCACTAGCATTTCTTGGAATTAGTATTGGTATTCGCATTCGCATTGGTACTAGTACTAACTAGTACTATTAGTATTAGTACTAGTCCTCGTTTTAGAACCATATTAGTATTCGGGCTCGTATTCGTATGAGTATTTTAGTATAAGTATTAGTACTAGACTTAGAACTAGTGATTAGTATCAGTATTCGCCTTAGTAGTAGTGCTGGTGTGAGTATGGGTATTCTTATGCGGATTGTCACTAATTACCATTGTTGTTCTCCTTGATACTACTGTTGTAATCTTTTTTTGCCCATCACTGATATCGTTGTTATGGTACTTCTGCTTATTACCATTAAAAAGATTGTTTCTGTTTCGCACAAATAGCATGCGCGAGGCAGGGTTGCACTGCCAGTTGACTCCTTGGAGTCCTATTGGTCCTAGAAGTAGTACTGGTATTAATACTCGTATTAGCATCAGTAATTAGAACAGGGTTTTGGGACCCATTATACTATACTTATAATAAGGACAGCCCCAAAATTTAGTATAGGCAAGTATTACGGACCCTATATTACCCGTCCTAGTATCAGCAGTCGCAGTCGGATCCGCGCCTCCTGTCGAGCACTGCCATGTACACGCAGGTCACCGCATGGCCGAGCAGCGCCATGCCCGGAGCTTCGTACCTTAGACTTACCTTTAGTAGGGAATGGAAGGGGCCTTATAAAAGGGTCTATAAGGGTTACTATAAGGGATCTATAAGGGGACTATAAATATAGGGGCCTCAATAATCCTGTAGCTTACCTTTGGTTAGTAGGGAATGGAGGAATGGGGTACAACTAGAACTACTATTACTACCATTCTTCCATTCCCTACTAACCAAAGGTAAGTAGACCGCTCGGAAAGAAGTCTCAAGGAATGAGTCTGACTTGAGAATGCCGGAGGCTCTTCAAACAGACATCATTAGAGACTCTGGCCCACAAGCCTGCAGAAAGAGGGGACTGATATTATCCATGTTGACGAGCCTACACCTGTGGGATGCAACCGTCGAGCAATAGGATCAACATAACTGCGTAATCGCATCACTAGTCGTGGACCTCCCGCAACCGCAGCCTCAGTCGTTGCAGTGTCGATGCCTCTTTTTGGGATAGATGTGCTCGCCCAAGGCCACTGCTGCCTGTGACATCCACCCGGAAGGTCGGACCCAGTGTTAAACTAACAGAACCAAGACAACCTCGAGGCACAGCTGACACACGTCAGTCAAATGAACCGTTCTGAACCTGAAACTCCGTAACCCCAAATCTTCTGAGCCCTTACACCTAAACTTCGCAAATAAGCCTCACAAAACCTTGGCCCCTGAACCCTAAAAGCGCTCAGCCTTAAAGCCCGAAAACCCCTACAGTAATGCTTCGAGGTGCACACCTCTGGACTTGGTGCCCAAAATTCGGTTCTCAAGGGCTTGGCACAAGCCAATGCCGTTGCGCCCGGCGATGGTGTTCGCCTGCTGGACAGCCTGGCAACTCATAGGTTCCTGATGATGTACGTAGCCATACACGCATACATGTTCATACGTATGTAACATACATATGAGTATAGACGAATATACATGTATGTACAAAACCTCTCAATATATAGTGTGTACATACACATAACACACATACATATATATATATATATATATATATGTATGTAGACGCACACATAGATCCCTCTCTTTCTCTCGCTGTCTCTCTCTCTCTCTCTCTTTCTCTCTCTCTCTCTCTCTCTCTCTCTCTCTCTCTCTCTCTCCCTTACTTGTCATTAGTCATTGTCAAGTGTGCACTACGTTCGCAATAGCCCCTAGGACATCAGTATGGGCCTCTTCATCTGGGACTCCCAATGCTGTGGCGATGCATGGTTTGCCGAACGTTGGACAGTTGTCATGCTGTAGGTCGTGTGCCCTGCGCAGCACAAGCAGTCTTCGGGCCAGACTATCTTGAATTCGGCCTCTTTCAGGGATTGCAACTTGCAGCGATCCTTGAACAACTGCTCAACTTCAATATAGTTTACCCACAGGGACAATTTCCTACTTGGGTAGGCCCAAGTTTCCAAGCTCCAGGTGTTGCATAACTTCGGAACCAACTGCCACAGATTAATGGTGAGGAGCTCGGTCCTTAACCTCTCGCAGCCCGCCTGGAGTGGGGTCACTGCTTTTCCGTTGATCTGGGTGCACCTTCCCTTCTCAAACTTCAGGGTGATCTCCTCCTGCTTGTCTGGAGCATCCTGGCTCATCATTGGTGGGCATACACGCGATGGGAACCTAGGTAACAGGACCTGAGGGTGGCTTTGTCACAACGGAGAGCTAGAGCAAGAACACAGAGGTGAGTTTGGGAAAAAGTCATGTGCATCGAGCTGTAGCGCGCTTGTGAAAACGGTCCTAGGAGTGCGTCGATACTTATCAGTCTGTGTATACATGCCCTGTCTCACGGAGATGTTACCATGAAGGGTTCTGGATGTTGTGTTCCGGTCCAAAGAAACCCCGGAAGCCAGTCCGACGAACTTCAAAACTCGACACTGGTGGGACCTCCTGAACCGTAAACCCTAAACCCAACGCATCAAGTTTCCCCTCCTTGGGCCAGACGCCCATGACCGGGTTCACGATGGTGATGGGGGTCTGCATGGACTCCAGGTCCTCTGCCTTTCAAGCGGAGTACCCCATCGACCCCATCTCCAAGGAATGCTACGGTTGATGATATAAATCCTGCATTACCCATAATAAGGAATATACCATAATTCCCACAGTTTGGTGTCCGTAAGGTAATGCATGATTTTTATCATCAACCGTAGTTGCATGTTTTGAGAGCCCGTTTATTCCGGCACGCAGTTTGGCGCAAGTCGTCTTCGCGTATCCGGCATTACTCCAATCATTTCCGGCTGTTCGGCGTCTTTCAATCTAATCCATGGCAACGAGAAAAACCGGATAAGGACGTTCTTCGTGCCCCAAAGTCTGAATTCCTATACCAGAAAGTTTTAATTCCATCACCCTCATACAGTGAAGGCAAAAGCTAGAGGGAATCAAAGCACTACTCATGCTCCACCCATGTTCCAAACCTCCGGGACTCTCCCCATATGTCTATATCCTATGATCCCCGACGCCTCGTTGCTCAGTCCGCAGATATTCGCATCCGTGGAGTAGCGCTTCGAGGCCTTGGCTGGGAGCTCGGAGCTGAGCGCTGGTATTCAACTCGTGGGGGCGGGAGGAATGGATGGGGAGGGAGTGCAGGAGGCGGAGCAAGGGACGGGGGGGGGGGGGAAATGACATGTTTCTTCGCCCGGCTTTCGAAGATCACATGCAAATACACAAGTACAGACAGCCAAAAACCAAACCAACACAGGATTACTGGCAGAAGGGATGCGCCTGTTCTCTGCTGGGACCCAAGCCTGCGAGACGATCTTGTGGTCGATGCCATGCTTCTGAAGAAATGTCAGCATCTGCGAGCGCCCTGGGAACTCCTGCAACATCGTGTGCTAGGCACGGTTCATAGAGTCTTTGGCCATTGCAGGGATTCTTCAGCCTGTAGAGCTGAACACTGAGATCTGCGAGATGGATGCTGCTAACGACATATTTCATCTTAGTCCTGCTTTTCTTCCCCGGTATTAGCAGCGACGGTCTGATTTCTCGGCAGTTTCATCGACTGCGCCCGGAAAGATGCGGGACAATTATGCTCGTAGAACAGGAAGTATTGGTATTCGTGCATCTGTGCCAACGACAAAATCAACTCACAACTGGAACTGAGACTCTGAGAGGTATCATCGACATTCGTATCCACACAGACACATTCAAAAGCATGCCGGTGAATCTGATGCTGCCATTCGCACCCTTCCAGAGGCTTTCAGTGCCGCAGCTCCTCTTACGGCAACAGCTGCTAGGTGGCAACTGATATAGGGGCCTTAATAATTAGAACAGGGTATTGGGGCCCATTATACAATAAAAATAACAAGGAACCCGCAAAATAGTATTGCTGACCAATTAGCCTCCTATAGTACCAGTCTACACCACCTGCCATCACCGCTCCTCTATCCCCCGTGGGACCATCAAGACACGTGATGCTCGCATTGAGAGTCCGGCCCTAAACCCTAAACCCTAAACCCTAAGACACCGTAGGAAATCGAAGCAGGAAGGACGCCTCCAACAGCACGGGATCTCGCCAGGGAGCATAGACTTTGAAGGAGGGATCGATGACCTTTGCCGCAGCCATTTCGTTCAAGCTTATCTAGGTAGGGCTTTTAAAGCTTTTGAAAAATAGTAAATAAGATCCTCTTAAGCCCAATAAGGGAAAATATAAAATGTCCCAAAGCCCTACCTAGTTATATGCTGTGATATGCCGCGGTGAGTTCTGTTCTGGTACCGGCATGATCAGCGTGACTTCACAGAGTTCAGACCGCGATCTGGGCTTCTCTGAGGACGTCGCGTTCACGTATCGCTCGAAGCGCACCTGGAAAGTGCATCGGCTGAAGCACAGGACTCGTAGAGGACTCAGAGATGCCGGGATCATTGTGAAGCCTTTGTGGTTTAGGGTTTAGGGAACCCTAAACCGGTGTACGTGTCTGGATACTTAGAAGCCTTAAGTGCCTGGGTTTCAATATCATTGCGGAGGACTGCTCTTGGACTTGCCGGCGGATGACCCATTTAGTGATCAGCAATAGGACGTGCCTGACTTCTCGAGCCATGGATGAGAATCAAACGAAGCGGTGCTGTGCACTCTGCTCTTCCTACAAACTGTGCCTAAATGCTGATGCGAAGCCTGAAAGCCAGATTCTCTCAGACATGCTTTTGACGCTAATCACCGGGAATTACGAACTGTGCACAAAATACGATCTTAAAAAAAGGATGGTATGCGATAAAGTCCGAGGAAGCTGAGAATATCAGCAGGTCTTGCAACGGATGTCCCAATTCAAAAAGCGCAAGCTACTGCCTGGTTCTTAGTCGCGAATGAGGGAATGGATTATGGAGACCATTATTGGGGATTATATAGGGACTACCAAAGGGATCAATTCCACCGTTCCCTACTAAGCACCAGACAGGTTGGCCCGCCTGGTCGTTGCCACGGCCCGTCGCCCCGTGGGAGAGGACTGTGCAGCCATGTTTCTTCATCTCTGCCAGCAGGCCCCTGCGAAAGCACATGGATTGATCAGGGCAGGGGTAATGGTCAGGGACCTCTGCACCATGCGTTCTAGCACGGAAACGCAGCCGTTGCCGCCACTCAAAACGCAATGGTTTCTTAAGCTCAAAATTCGAACAGGGTGCTGGGGGGATATTATACTATACTTACAATGAGGAACGTGTCAAAGGCCATCCGGAAGCGGAGCTAACAACATCCCGATTCAGACGTGGTGGGCACTGCGATGCCGTAGCCACGTCTCGATTTGCAGGAGCCTCGCAGTGACGTAGCGGCCGATGCCGGTCGACTGCCAGTATCCTCCATCGTACATGGCCTCAGGTTTCAGGGCGCCGGAATGGTGCTTCTGCTCCATGCTCCTTTGGCGGCCAGCACAAGGCTTCGCAGAACCGCATCAGGAACTTCGTAAGTTCACTCATCCAACATGAAGCCCAAAGTCCCTAAAGATGAGGAGACCAGTCTCAAGATCTTTTGCTCGAAACTTGCTGCCGCACATCCTGTCCAAACATGGCCTGAAGCCAAGCCCTGCTGTTTCATGCACACCCGCACCTGGGCAGCGACCGCCTCGAAGGCACCTTCCGCGATCTCGTCCTGCCGCACAGCTTTGTCTAAACCAGGCTGTCGATGACGGCCATAGGGGCAAGATGTCCAGCGGCAGTTCACCTTCTACGCCTAGTTGACGCTCGATTTTAAGTCTTCCTGACTTTCCGTTCTTCCCGTTTTCACAGAACCCTATACCCTATACCCTCTTCCCCGGCTGCATAGCCGAGGAGCCTCAACTCGAAACTCCATGATAATAAAGAAATCTAGGGGCCTTAATACGTAGACTAGGGTTTTGGTGGCCATAACTATAATAAGGCACCCTCAAAATAGTATCATAGTTATAATAAGGAACCCTCAAAGTAGTACCATAACTATAATAAGGAATCTCCCAAAAGAGTATAGGCAATTCATGATAGTCATTTAGGCCCCTTTAGTAAGTCCTTCAGGTCGACGACAATCGTCTCCACCCCACAGGGAGCCATCTTCCTCGAATGAGATGCGGTTTGTGTAGGGGTGCTTACCCTCGGGATCAAAACAGCCCAAAAGCCTTATATAGTATGGTCCTTGGGCCGAAAAGCCGAAATATGCGAGTCCTTAGATCCCTAGGGCCGGGTTGCAGAGCCTACTGCTGAAACTTGAGAGACGGCATCTGCCCCGCCTTCGCCAATACGTGAATCAAGATTGCAGACGCCACGAGCCATAGATGGGAGTTTCCGAAGATTAGGGGTACCTTATTTTGGGGCCCTTATGATAAGGATCCTACTATTCAGGGTACTATATTAGGGTCCCCTATTTTCGGAAGCTCCCAGATGGTGTCAGAAGGCCCAGCAAAGGTTGGGAGATCCACCCAGCAATAATAGTAATAATAGTAATAATTGTTTTCATAGTAATAATAGTAATAATAATGAATTCCCCGCATATCCGATGAACTTCCCCGCTTCGCTTCTCTGAATAGTCAATTAGGAGCTTGTTTGGGCCAAGAGCCAAACTTTGCGTACTTGCAGGGGTTTTTCTGTTCCTTCTCGGACCACTGTGAGCCAGAGTCAGCCAGGCTACCCTGAAGCTCCGCATACCTAGACCTACGGCATCAACCTTAATGAACACCACATGCACCGGTTCATTGGGATCTTGGGCCTTTGGTCAGGAAGATAGCTGGAGATGTCTTGAGTCTAGATATCGTCGCATGGACGTGAGTGAAGGTGCCATGGCGCCTGCCCACAACACACCGTCTGGATGCTGCTATACACTGCTGCGGGATTCAGACCCCTTGCAGCCCGGAATCTTCACCACATCGTTCACGTCCTCCTCATCTGGCTGGCCGATGTCAGCAGTGAAGCATTTGACCTGCCACGCTGAGCAACTGACTGCCTACACTTGAAAGAATCTACGAATGTAGGCGCAATGTATGTCTGTGTGCATGTTGCTGTTTGCGCACCCATGCATGTAATGCCATTAAACTGAAATTCCTAAAGCTGACTGATTTCATAAACAAATGCTTGCTTCGAAGCCCGGCACCGCTCGATCTCTTATGGAAAACAAAGGAACCGAAACTCTAGATCTGCACACCCTACCCATGAGCTTCTGAGGTGCTGCTCCACAGCCCCATAGCAAAGGACAAAGGATGAGTGATGAACATGACGCTTCGTTCAGAGCCGGAAGAAACTCCAAGCATCAACGTGCCCCTTGATCTACCGGGCCTTCACACCTGCCAGGCGGAGCCTCAGCGCCACGGTCTTCGAGTCCAGCCCACCACTGACACAAATGCCCACGACGTCGCCGTTCTCCACATACCTGCAGCATTTGGAGCAAACCATGCGCTATACAGTGGCCTCGCGAGTCCAGGAACTTCAACTATCAACAGCAATGGTACACTTGCTGCAAATACCACTGATGTTGTCGCTGTTGCTCGGATTGCTGTTGCCGAGTTGAAGTTCTGATAGGCATTGTGAGGGCTTTGCTTTGAGCGTCGGGCTTCGGTCATAAATCCTTCAGCCTTTGCGAATTCCACTCTGAATCAGCCATTCTACAGCTTAAGCCTCATCCTTTGTAATTAATTTGCATGCCTCCATCCTGAGCCCCTGATGCTAAACTCGCCTGTCGTGAGTGTTAGTTCGCTGCTTTGCAGGATCTGACTTCGGGGCACGAACTACGATCTGCCTCAAGCCATGCAGGGGCCATATACTCGTATACGGTATACGATGAAGCCCTATACGGTAACGGAACCTTAAGCCCCGTCATCGGTAAGAACCGAGCGACTTCTTCAGAATGGGGGACTCATTGAGGCCGCCGTTCGCAGGCATGGCTCTTGGGCTTCTGGGTGCTGCACACGCTGAGAGCTTGAGGCTGACGTCGGCACGAGGCACGGTGGGGGTGCCTCTAGGGGCCTCAAAATGTAGGGTAGGGTGCTAGGGGTATAAGATACTCGAACTATGCTGAGGGAACCTCCGAAATAGTATTGCTAGTTTTTTGACCCCCATATTTCAAGCCTTCATCTGGCCCATGGTTTGGGCGCCTCATCTTTCAAAATTGGGGTAAGCACCAAACTTCCGGCAGTCCGTTCCTTACAGTGCTATGCAGATGCAGCATAGGCGCAAACACATGCCCTCTGGGGCTCTGACCGATTCGGTCTGGCTCCAAGCACCTAGGCCTATCCCTGGAACACGAACTTACATCACAGCAGCTCCCGTAGATCTTGTAGACTCTTTAGCAAGCATCCAACACAGCCCAGCAAAACCTAAACCCTCAACCCGAAGCCTTAAGAAGGCACTTCCGCTCCTTTTTGTTGCTCAGGCCGCATCTTGTCAGCTGCGGGTTTTCACCGTCCAGCCCTGATTCTTCAGTGCCTGAGGCGTGCAGACAGGCGTATGCTTCAGGGTTTAGGGTTCCCCGGATGAGCGTTGGGCTTGCAGGCAAGCCGGGTATAGGATCAGGTTTCGGTTTCGGCCTTAGGGCTTCTCTTTCGTTTCAGAATCCTCCATGTTCCTCCATCACCCCTGCTAAAGCTTGAAGCACTACTCCAAGATATCTCCTGACCTTCCAGTGCCAGCCTTGAAATACTCCCCGAGTGAAAACCGACCCCTGAAAGAAAGTCGTCGACCCATTCGCAAGACAACAGGAAAGGCACTTTGAGACCGTGACCCGCAGGCTCAGCTGGCAGCTGGGAGACAAGGCCGACTTCTTCTCGCCCATGCCTTCTGCGGGAAATGAAGGGAGGCAGAACAAAGCGGTAAGGGTTCTGGTCTTAGCACGAAACGCAAGGCCTGCGGAAGAGTTGATGTGGAACTACGTGGAATGGGAGGGTTGGTGAAGACTTTCGTCGAATGCTTAAAGAGAATCTGAATTGAAGTCATGCTCATGAATCCCCCTTCCTCTCGCTCGCCAAGACGCGCACCACTGAACCTCTTCACCTACTTGTAGCAGATATTAGCTGACAAGCTAAAGAAGCCTCAACAGCCCATCCAACCCCAGCGAGCATCGAAGTATCGGCACTGACGGGACCTGCCAGTGTGTCCCCAAAGCCCAGCAGGCGTATTCCGGCTGACCCGCCAGCATCTTTCTTTCCTGCAGGGCGTTCACATGGTCGAGGGAGCTATATGGGAGATGCCGAAAATAGGGGACCCTAATATAGTACCCTAAATAGTAGGATCCGTATTGTAAGGCCCCCAGATAAGGTACCCTTTATTTTCGGAAGCTCCCATATAAATGTCCAGGCATCCTTCTACATTCTTCATCCTTCCAGGCAGTGGTCAGAAACGGACACGAGCCCCAGGTCCTTGAAGGACGAACTCAGCACCTTGGTGCCAGAAACGTCGACACAAGGGCTTGCTGGAGTTTTTCTTTACGGCCTTGGGGTCTAGGGCTAGGATTCAGGGTTTTGGGGGGTTACCCACATACTTACCGCAAGCCATGTACTGCTGAACTGCGTCTGCACCTGAGCTGTGGAAAGGCTGATATAATACTAATGCCTAGACTAATACAAATACGGCTAACCACTAGTCACTAATCACGTAATATCCGTAATAAATACTCATAAGTATCAATATTGCTATTGTTGTGAATGCTTCATGTTATGCTGGGGCTCCAACCCACAGGGACGGAGACCAAGCCACGATTCGACCTTGCAAGGGGCTGAAGGAGCACTTGATTGGGCTGAGGGCTTAGGTTTTATGGTGTAGGGATTAGGTTTTGATACTTGCTCCAGGAAATCAAGTCAACACCAGAGCAAGATGCTTCTCGATTTCGGTTTAAGCCCTAGCTCTAGCTCCTGCCCTGTCCCTAGAGCCCCACGGTTTGCTTATCTCTCGGTCTTTGCCGCTTTCAGAGAGTTTGATGATGCATGTGGATCGTGCAGTGAAACTTGTTGCAAATGCAGTCAAGGTCGCCACTGCGAGGCAATCTTCACAGTGCTGTCGGCCAGCAGAGAAACTAATCACATTACTGCATTATAATATTATATAAGATTCATTTGATCAGCACTCTACTAGATAACCCTGTAATGCACATAACTGTACTTTCTGGTTTCTGAATCTGAACGACCGCAATAGCAACCAAACATCCCGCTGCATTTCGAGCACAAGGACAATGCTAGATCTGTTCGTTCTGATCTGTGGGCTTCTGGACCCATGGCACAATTCAGGGTGCAGCAGTGCAGGGTTGTTGCAATCTGTCACAACAACAAGTGAGCAAGTCTAGCAGCACTACGCATTGCTTAACGTGCTAAGCCCCTACCGTCTGGATGCAATGGGGCCGCACAAACTCCTCTAACGCAAGCCCTAAACCCAAAGCTGCAAACCCTGATGACTCCAAAGCCCTTAGTCTTAACCACTTATCCTCAAGCCTAGTATATTATAGTATAAAGGGCCCCAAAACCCTATTCCAACTATTGAGGCCCCATATTAAGCCTTGATTTCGGCCCCGGGGCTCCGGATCCACAAGGGGTGGAAGAGGAGCCATCGGCCTCAGTGCTGTGCTTTGAAGCGTTGCTGTTGCATGTAGAAGCCTCAATAACTATTTGATTAAGAAGCCCCCAAAAAATGAAAATAATAATCCCTATATTACCCCCCATAAAGAATATATTTTATATTTTTTGGTGGTTCTTAAGCAAATAGTAGTCAATAACTAGAATAGGGGCCTTATAGTTAGATTGGGACCACTATACAATACTTCTATCAAGGAAACCCCAAAATAGAAAATGTAATTATTGAGGCCCCTACTATCAGGGCCTTTGAATAGGGAACCTTTAGGTCACGGGTTCCCTTATGGGCTCCTATGAAGGCTTTTTGATAGAGGGAGATATGCGTCATAACTCAGAACTGTCATGACATGAATAAGCATATGTAGCTAAGAGCAAGAGGAAAACACGGAAGGAGGGTCTGATATGGCAGTCGATTCTAGGTTGGGGGGTTCAGGTATGTTTCTGTAGATGTATGCTCCGAGTTAGAGATAGGGGCTTCGGGAGCTCTAGTGGATGTCACCGGATATTTTCTTCGGGATCTGGTCCCAAAGATGTCTTCGTGACAGGATTTCATGGCTCTTCAAGTATCAGGGCAGGGAAGTGAAGGGCTTCTCGCCGTGCAGCACTGCTTGAACTTAAGTTGAACTTGGTTGGGAGCATGTGGTTCGCAAGATACGTGCAGCTCAGCTCAACCCGACAGCCGTGCAACCGACCCTAAACGCTAAACCCCTGAACTTCTGAACCCTAAGCTTTACCCTGGACCATGCACCCAGCAATTGCCAGAAATTTCTGACCTTTGGGTGTCGCCCAGGCATCCTGAAAAGTCGTGCTGGTCGCATTGGGACCGGTGAAAAGTTACTCCCGCCTTCAGAGTTTGGGGCTTGGGGGCTTCATGTTTTACCGCGTTTGTCTTGGTCTGGGATTTGTATGGCTAGTGCTTCTTGCTTTTAAAATTTAGGGCTAACTCTCTCCTAACAGGCCCATCTGTAAGGCCGCAGATGGAGTGGCAAAGTGCGGGAGCCGGAATTTTGGAGAGTGCCGGGGATCGAAAACTTGCAGTGTCGCGCCTGCATTTGCAGGACATCTGCCTGTACAGCCTTTGGAAGATAAGTCTTCCAGAAGAAGGGTGGCAAATTGCTCGGCGAGCTTTGTGTCTTCAAAGGTCAAAATGACGCTTCCGGCTTTAGGGTTTATAGTTTGGTGACTTTAGTGTATGAAATGGGCTTTAGCTACTTAGACAGGCTCGAGCATCCAGAAGTTCACGGGACCGACACCACGTGAAAAGCACACATGCGGCTTCACCTCGCCCGCGCCTTATGCAAGATCTCTCACATGGTTTCGGGCTTAGGACTTGAAGCGTCTTGCTAAATCTCTCAATGCTCGGGGCACGCAGCATACAGGTCTGTTGGAAGGTTTAGCAATCAAGACACCATTGGCATTGTGTAGGTTCAAAGGCCCTAAAGCAGCATGAAGCTGGGCGAATCCAAGGACCACAACCCTCCACCGGTTCCAGATATTGGTACGAGAGGCTATGTTGCGCAGCCAGCTGCTCCAAGCCAGCTGCCTGCGAAATGTCACAAATCGCGCCCCACCCACAGAGAAACAGAATGCTCAGGGGAGCACCAATATAGGGGCCTCAATAATTACTAATACTATTTTGGGGGTTCCTTGTTATAAGTATAGTATAATGGATCCCAAAACCCTATTCTAATTATTAAGGCCCCTATATTAGTTCACAAGGCGGAACCCCCGAGTCTCGAGACCTCCCGAGCACGCTTCTTGACATACGTTCGTCGCGTACCACAACTATGGGACTTGCTATGCTCAAGTACTCAGCCAGGTCCCAATATCTCCGGAAAGCTTTGAGGAAGAGGTGAGATCGGAGACGTTTAGGGTCTCCCCCTGAAGAACCTACCTTTTTAGGGGTTCCCTATGTCCTTAAAATGGTAGCTTATTCCGGGCTAAGGTCGGGCTTAGGCCCCTTACATGAAAGCTTGTGCCGGTTTAGCCTCCAAGAGGGGGCCGGCCGTCAAGTGGTCCAAGGCCGCCGGCTGGACTGGCCACTGGGGATGCTCAACCTTGGTGACGGAATTTCTATCACTGCGTTGTAGTTTCGGGGCCCTTAAAATTATTTATGAATAGGCACCTCTTTAGGAACCATAGGGTGAATATTGAAGTTTCCCAAAGTGCCACCTAAGTTATCGTCATGATCATGCTCATCATCACCATCACCACCACGGTTGTCGTTGCTGGCCGGGCTCCTGTTGATGCTGCTGCTCCTGCTGATGCTCGTCCTGCTAGTCCGTTAACTCCTGGCATGGGCCACCACTACCACTACCACGACCACCGCTACTCAACTACCGCTACTACAACTACCACTGCTGCTGATGGACATCGTAAGTTCATTATACAACATTCTCCGGATGTTACATGGATGTACGCACGTATGTATGTACATAGGTAAGTAAGTAAGTACGTATGTATGCATGCATGCACACACGCTCAAATGTGTGACAGACCAGCTCACTTCTCAAGTAAGCTATACAATTGCTCATTCCGTGACAAATGTTCGCTTTACATCTCAGATAAGAAAGAAGTAAGGTTGGGAAGGATTCACATCCGTTTATGCCCAGCCCCTGTGAAGCCACGGCACATCTCCCCGAAGCAGCAGAGGCCCTTGGCCCAGGGGCCAAGCCGCGTAGACTGAATACCTTTCAGGGCTTTGGGCTCAGGGTGTCTGCTTTCGGACTTAAGATGGCTCAGGGCTTGGGGTTCCTACCAGCTTTTTGATTACTTTTTCCTCGCACTAAGTCCGAGAAGTACCATAGGGCGCAGGGCTTTGGAGTCCAGATTGTGAGTTTGGGGCCTTGGGGAGTGCCTTCAAGATGAAGAGTTTGCGTGATAAACTCTACATTCTCCGAAGGTACATGTTTCTACATGCGCGTCGTTGAATGCGTGTGTTTATGCAGGGCACCTGCCTTTACATCCAACAAATCGGCGCACGTCTATGTATGTCTGCCCATCTACCTGCAAACCTATGCCTGTGTCCATCCATCTACCCCGTTGTGTGTATGTATGTGTGCATGTATGTATCTGTATATATATATATATATGTATTGCATGATATGATATGTACCTCTAGCATTGACCTGTTGATTTCCGGCGACCGGGCGCGCCTCTCCACAAACCAGGTGGCCCGCTGTGAAAACTTCTCGTCTGAGGACTCGGGCAGCAGATGCCACTGGGCAGAAACCTCATCAACAGGGTGTAGGGTTTAGGGTTTGGGGTGTAGGGTTTAGGTTTCGGGTTAGGAGTGCGAGCTGAATGTCGTATAAAATGGAAGCGATGTTGTCTGTTACTGCAACTCTGAGACCTCCTTGAGAGTGTAGCCTTGTTGGGGCTGAGATTAGCATATTATGGGCTACCTACCCATCAGGTCGATGTGAGTACTCCGAACACCTCTACTTTGCCCGGCCAAGGCTGCAAGTATCTTAGCTGACCAGTCTGGTGGGCCACATGGCAGGGACGAGGATGAAAGGTCGAGAAGGTTGGCAAAATCGTCCGATGTAACCTATTATGCTCTATATTATCATACCCAAACACTATAGCCCCCAACCCCCAAACCCAAACGTATCCCCGAAACCCTGAAACGTAGACCCCGCTTCAAACCCGACAGCCCAACAACCTACCATAGGGGCCTTAATAATCAGAATAGGGTTTGGGGGGCCATGATACTATACTTATACTAAGGACCCCCCAAAATAGTATAGGTAATTGTTAAGGCCACTATATTATATCCTTATAATAGCCCTTAAAGACCCCTTTAAAGGAACCCTAAGGATTAGTATAGGTCATTCTTGAGGCCACTATACTAAGCTCTGAGGAGGAAGCGGAGGGCCGATGGAACAGCCCGGACCGCGTGGAAGAGAACTTGAAGGCGAACCCTGGCGCAAGCGAAGGGTTTAGGGGTTGGGGCTGTGTTTTCTTTTAAGTTGGGGTTGTTTAGGGTTTAGACTTCGTAGTTGGGGTTTAGTACGTAGGGTTTAGAAGTCGCGTTTGGGGTTTAGAATTTAGGTTCAGGGATTAGAAGGAATCCTGGATCTTATTTTGGGAGATTCGAAATCAAGGGGTCGCAATACTGGCGAACAAGCTAGTAGTATGACGGGTGCCTAGTGCTTCAGACGTCCTACAGTATCCTGCCTCCAACAGCCTGCTATGTGCTGCGCCTTCTTGTGGCCCCAAGGCACCCTAAATCCCGGCTTTACCATCGATTGCGGGATCTTGTGGCCCCCTACCACAACTTCTTCTAGTTCTGTTCACTAAGGCCTCTACACTCTAAACCCTGGCACCGGTGTAGGAACCCACATTGTAGTCTCGACCCGACGCCTGGCCTTCGGCAGCCAGCGGCTTAGACTCCTCCTCGGAGCTTTTGGCGAAGGGCTCCTGCCAAGAACCGGATTCGGAGTGAAGGGCTCAAAGCTTCAGCATCTTTAGGGTGCTTTTGATGGAAACGTGCCATGGTTCTTGCTTATGTAATTAATCAGCATATAGGATGTAGGATGTATAGGTGTTAGAAAATGGAAGCCGTAGGGTGTATTTCGGGCTTGTTCACCGAGGGTTCTCGGGGACAGGGTAAACCCACGCTGTAGAGGGTTTACGTCTGGGGCAGGATTCGACCGCGGGAGTGAAAAAGGGAATTTCATGTGGTGGGCTGAAGACGGACCAACGAAAGGTTGCGACATGAACGCCGCCGCAGCTTTAAAATGGAATCCTCGTCGTGGTTTCGGCTTCCAGATCGCGATATCGTTGCTTTGGAGGTTCGGGATTTAGAATCGGAAACTTAGGCTTGGACACCTCGGGCCCGCGTCATCCTCATTAAAAGCAATGCCCTGAGCCTTGGCTTGGTCTACACCAGGTCCTCCATGCTCCTATCACGCCTTAGAATCTCCGTAAATTGGAACAGAGAAAGTCCAAGCAAAAATCGGGCGCACCTGGTCCACTTCCCGTTCCATGCTGGCGGGGTAGTAAGGGATCCCCGCGAGTCGGGCGCCCAAAGATGCTAGCACGCCTCATGATGGTGGGTGCTGTTTCGATCGTCGGCGAAGTGCTACACGTCGTCGGAAGGGCAAGTTAGGAATCTACAGCTTGTTGCTCGAGCCATGTGCGATCTTGCAGCAATGCCAGGGTTTTGGGTATGTTTGTTTGGGTGGATCTCTGGCTCGGGCCCTGGGGTTGTCCGGTCGGGTGCGGACATGTGGGAAGCTTGATCTCTGCTCGCCGGTCCAATGGTCCGAAGTTCGAAACAGCTCTTCGAAACGAACCAGGAACAAATCCAAGCCAACTACCAAGGCAAGGAGCTAGTCTTGTGCATGCCGTCAGGGGTCTTTACTATCGGAGGGACCCTAGCACAACGTCCACCAGTCCAAACACAACAGCATTGCGCAAACGATAGCCGCGACTGCAACAAGGGCCAGTGCACGCGATACCGAAACTCTTTCCCGGAACCGTAAACCCTGAACCCAAGATGAGCGATCCAAGTTTCTGGAGCACTCCAGTGACCAGAAGAAAATGCCAGGCACGCCGTTGTGGCGCACATATGTTCCTTACAAAGTCTCCAGCCGATGTTTAGTGATTTTAGTGCCGGTATGGAGGGGCTCTGCACTGTGCCGGCTGGTTGTCTTCCCGTTCAAGGGACCGCAACAGTTGCCTCTCATCTTCGCCCAAGAAGCTAACATTGGCACCGAGGTGGTCGATGGGGCGCACCTCAACTTATCAACTTCCGAGTATGCTCTGGCTCTTGCAGCGAATGTTGAGTGTTTCGAGTGGTAGCCCGGTAAGGCTCTACAGTACAAGGCAAACCTAGCTCAAGCTTGCGTTAAGCAGACCGGCAAGCTGCCCAGCTCGCAACTCACGGGCCGCATCAAGGCTTATCGACGAGTCACAATTGCGCGGCCCAAGGGGTGCGCGGCAGAGACGCCACGCTCCGTGAGGAGCACCAGACCTGGCATGGGAAGTTCCATGCCTGAATGAAACAAAAAAACGATTGAAACTCGGCTTGTCGGGAATTGTGACAGCACACACACACACACACACGAACCTACCGAAAACAGTCAAAACCTCGATTGTGCCTTCTTGGCCGACCTCTAAGGCGATTGGCTTTCTCAGCACTTACAAGCAAGGCAGCTTTCAGCATCCATACCTTGCTGATCGACTTTGAAACCTGAAATACAAGTTGTCCTTCGACCCTTCACATCTCCAAAAGCCAAGGGGCCCACCCAAGCAGAGCCTTCCAGAACATCGGGTTCCAGGCCCCTGTGTTGTCCAGGGTCACTGGGGGCTTGAGCTTGCCGGTTTCCGGCAGGACTTCAAGATCCAGCCCGAGGGCTGTTTATTTTTGTTTAGTATCATTCTTTTTTATTTTCATTTCTATTTTATTACTTTTATTATGTTTTCATCTGTTACCACATATTATTCTGGACTGGCTTTTCGAGACTGCCTTGTTTTGCAGATGTAGACAGACAGAACCAACAGCCAAGAGAACTTGGAATGTCTCAGTGCCACCACCAGACCAGAACTCTCAATCCACAATCCTGCACTACTGTTGATGGTATAACTCCTGCAATACTCATAATAAGGAATATACCATAGTTCCCACAGTTTAGGGACCTTAAGGTAATGCAGGATTTTTATCATCAGCCGTAAGAAAGAGAGTTCGGGGGAGGGCCCGAGTGCATAAAAGTGCCGGTCGGATCACTCAAGGGTTGCAGGGTTTGGGGTTTAGAGTTTAAGGTTTAGGGTTTAAGGATTTAGGGTTTAGGGTTAAGCACTTCATACAGAAGCCAGTTATGATCTCGAGGGGTTCGTGCTCCGGTACAAAGTCCAGCAGAATGCTAGCTACTTTAATTATTCCTGAAACCAGAATGCTGCTGCGCCAACAACACAGAATGATACAACTCTTCGACGACGTATACCGTATGCAGGGCCGCTGCCGTCGTTGCCGCTGTCGGTGTTAGCCGTCGGCGCCGTGTCGTCGTCGGCACGACCACCGTCATCGCCGTCGCCATTCCCGGTTGTGGCAGTTGTTTCTGGCTCTGGGTTTGTTGGCTGCTGGTGATTCTGATGTTATCCTCGGCACTGATTATATTGCCAAGTATTGCATTTGCATCAAGCCTAGTCTTCCCATGACTGGTATTTTGGGGGTTGCTTTCTGATCTTCACCATTCGTAAAATGGTGACGGGCCGAAATACTGACTAATAGTACCCCGTTGCAGTCCCTGTACTGAAACATTTCCCACGCCCGCACGCCATTCAATGCCCTTTTCTACTCCTGGCCGCGGCCAGGCCTCGGCAGCAAATTCGCCACGACTTCGGGCGGCACGGGCCAGTGCACGAAGAGAGCATTCCTAAGCTTTGTGATCAACAGCACCTGCACAAGTAAAAACATGTCCTCTAGAAAAATGCTACTGCCTCAATATATTTAGCCGCTTAATCTGTGATTATCAGTCAGGCTCCATCCCCGAAGCCGTATAAAGCTTGAAAGCCTTGGACGTGCACGGCGAGTCGAGGTACTAATGATGCTGGTGTTTACACTGCCAACTAATAACAGCCCAAACTAATACTATTAGGCTGTTAAGTTCGAGGATTGTTGGCAGTTCACACAGCCCTCAGCTGTCACGCTGTGCTTGCAAGTTTCTCCCAGGCATCGTGCATCATGAAGCGGAACCTGAGCTTCTTCAGTGACTCGAGGTCTCACTTTTGGCTCGTGGGCCATGGGTTCCGGTTCAGGGCGCAGGTTGTGGAATGAAGACCCTGTGTGCGTGCGGCTATGCCACGATCAAAGAGCGTGGATTGAGAGTAGGACCGCACACGCCGATGTCTGACAATTTGTGCGGTTCTTTGAACTAGACGGTCCTCAAGAAAAAAAAGTAGTAGTAACCCCAAACCCTAAAACTCGAAACAATAGACCTTAACAAGCCCTAAACCCTCAGCTGGTCTACCGGGGAGCTTGAGGCGCCTTTGCGCTATCAGCGCTTGTGAGGCTGCGATTTCGGCCATGGCTGCAGGACGAGATGGCCAAGCGGAAGAAGACCGGTGGGATCCCATAGGTTTCGAGGTGCGAAGACATTACTAGCAGCAAGCTCGTTTGCAAAGATGTTGCTTGATCAAGGGGGTGATCCGCAGGATGATAACGACCTTCCAACGTTTGCTTAAGCGGGGGGCCTACTGTAAGCCTCCTGTCGAGATGCAGCGATGTCAGTTGAGACACTTGCATCGCCTTGCCGAATCTACTGGCCGAACCCAAACACTCTTTGGAGGGTTCTTGTCATTGCTCAGGTCCACGCATCGTCCGCATAGTCTCCAGAAGCTGTTCTGAAGCTTTCGTCCGCGCGTCGGAGATCTGCGAAGAGTTAAGAAGAGTTCGAATGAGGAAAAGCCGTGCGTGAACAGCGCAAGGATCTCATGCTAGACATGAGCTGCTGTCGTGGATGTCGAAAGCGCAAATTATTCGAAATTCGTGTCGCAGTCAGACTAGACTGTACTTCAGCAGGCTTGCCAGAGCAATCCGGTCGCTAGCGACTCAGGCTGTTGCGCATGGCTTTAGCATCATACTCACTGCCTCTTTGTGTATCAGATCGGAACATTGCGAGAGGCATCAAGGCCAGCATGAAGAAATTGAGGCGCACTTACTGTTGACATGATCAAGCCACACATATGCCCCAGTGCCATTTCACCAGCCTGCACTGCATAGATCATGAAATGGTTCTTCTGCATTAGGCTCCCTTCAGGGTACAGTGAGGCTTTACAGTCTCAAGTAGCCCGTACCCTAATATAGGGGCCGTGATAATTACCCATTCTAATTTGGGGGGGGTCCTTACTACCTTCATAGTATACTGGACCTAACCTTATTCTAATTATTAAGGCCCCTATACTAAATCCTTATGATAGCTCTTAGAGAGTAGTCGTAGCCCTTAGAGACCCCTTTAAAGGAGCCTTATTCTAAGGCCCATATATTAGTCAAGATCGATCCCCACGCGCAGAACTGGGACCCAAGCTATTCTCAGTGTCCTCCGGTCTGCCAAGCACCTCGGACAGGTATAATATAGGGGCCTTAATAATTAGGATAGGGTTCCTTTAAAGGGGTCTATAAGGTAACGTAGGGGCCTTAAATAGGGTTTTGGGGGTATATTATACTATATATATATATATATATACATAGTAAGGAACAGGTAATTTAGGCCCCTATAGTAGGTATATCTGGAGGCCTGTTGGCAAGAGCTTGGGCTTCGTGGCTCAGGGTTAAGATGCTTCTCGCCATGTCATTGGGGGAGAGCGGCAGGGGATGAGGTTAGTCCATTCGCCTTCCTGTTTGGATGATCGAGGTGCAGAGGCATGAAGCTAATGGAGCAGATAATGTCCACACGACGGCTGTCTTCAAGCCTCAACCCTCTTGTGTGATGCATTATCCCAGTGAAAGGAGAGATCGTTGCAATCTTGGGAGATCCCCAAGTCTGAAGACGGCCAAAGATACATGATGCCGACAACATAAGCGAGATCCTCTGCAAGAAGGCTTATGCTTGTGTGCTTTTGGGATCCCTGGAGGGAGAGCCCGGGCTCAACTGGGTTGCGAGCAGCTGTCGCGAGAGCCGAGCGGCCTGGTTGGCCCAGGGCGCCTGGCGGCGCAAACCGTAGAAGGGTTTAGGGTTCAGTGTTTGAGAAGCACACGGGAAGCATGCTCTTCTCGAGCTCTTCGCAACCTGATCGCTTCGGTCCCAAGATGTTCGGATCTCTTGCAAGTCAGCCTTTCAACACTTGAGCAAGTGCAGGCGCTGCCCCTGTGACCCACCATGCCATAAAATGATCAGGTTATGCCAGACCCTAAACCAGAAACCTGAAAACCCGAATCCCCCCAACCTTCAACTCTAAACCCAAACCCTAGACCCCGAAACCCTCTTTCCCTTCTGTTGAGCGCAGGGGTGACAATCGTAACCGCACAGCCCTGAGCCCGGCCAGCAGCGAATCGCCAAGGCCAGCCATGGAGCCGGCATGGAGCCTTGGTCTGCGAAAAGAGGAGTAAACTGATGCAACAGAATAGGGTAATATAAGACCACATATTATCCTGTTGTCATCTGCTTACATCACCATATCATATCATGTCATAATTTTCTTTATCATACCATGCACCATATCATACGCGTCATTGTCATATCATATCATATACCTTACCCGTCATATCATGCGGTATCATCGAATATAGCACAATACCATCATGGCAAGGTTTAGGGTTTCGGGTTTAGGGACAATGGATCTTGGCAACCGGCATATATTTGTGGTTGGTTGGTTGGTTGATTTCTTGATTGGCTGATGAAAGAAGCAATAACTTACTAACTCCATTCAGCGGTTAATTGAGCAGATGAACAAGCAGCTACGATCAGTTAAACAACTGATCCGCTTGTGAAAAATCAACCGAAAATCGAATGATTGCTTGAACCACTGACGACTTGCTTGCCTTATAGGTTGGTCCTGATTATATCCAATTAGCAAATCAATTGGTTGATGAGTGTTCAAACCACGTAATCCTTTAAGTAACTAACTAACTAACTAACTAACTAACTAACTAACTAACTAACCCACTGGTACTCATGCGTTCAGTAGGTAGGTAAGTATGTAAGCAAATACATGTAGCATCTGTGTCTGGGCTACAAGAGATATCAAGAGTAGTATCGATACATAAACACGAGCTTTAAACGATGGTCGGTTTTGCCAACCCCATCTTTTGGTGTCCTGTTCCAAGGGCCTAGTGATGCAGTCGTGCCGAGACATCAGACGCAACAGAGCAGCTCAACAGGTATCACTTGCAGTTTGGACTATCGAAACATGAAAGTGGGAACATGCAGTAGAGATGCCGGCAAAGTAGGATCTCAAGCATGTTGGCAAACCTGTGAATGCCATTTAGAATCCCTGATATCTGAAAATAACGTCTGTGTAATAACCACTCGTGCAGCATCTTAAGCACTAAACTAACACCCAGACCGTCAACAACATGACAAGCTCCACACTGAACCCTTAGCCCCTAAATCCCTCAACCGTGACTCGAACGTATCTGGAAGGGTTGGAGCACAGACCCCGACACTCTCAGCGTCTTCTCTCCGTCGAAACGCGGCGCCATTCGCCGCAACTCATGGAGGAGGAGTGGGGTCAGGCTTTAGGCTTCAGGGTTTAGGGGTAGGGGTTTAGGGCTTTAAAGATTTGGGGGTTTAGGGATTAGGGGTCTAAGGTTTATTGTTCAGGGCTTTGGGTTTGGGGTTTAGGGTTTGAGGGCTAAGGGTTCGGGGTGTCGAGCACAGGGTTGAGAGGGCCCAGAGCAGTTTGGAGCAGAAGCTGTCAAAAGCAAGGATGTTAGAGGCTCCAGCATATCTCAAAAGGAGCGAAGGTACGAGGGCCTTGATACGGAATAGCTACTTAGCTCCGCAGCTCGAAGCAGTGAGGGCCTTCGCAATGCAAGATCCTCAACCTAGGACCCAGATCCTGAAACCCTAAACCCTAAACCAGGGTTTAGGGTGAAGAGTTTGGAAATATGGGACCCCAGATCCGAACCTAGAGATAAGGATTACATAGTGTCTAGGGTCCAGGGTTTAGGGTACGTCGGAGGGTCTGACTGCCCCTTCAATGACTCTCAAAGGGGAATAGGAGGGACCCTTAATGGGGACATCCTATAATGGGCTATATAATGGGTATATAATAGCAAAAAAGAGGGTATATACCTAGGGGTCCTTATTAAGGATCCCTCCTTTACCCTCGGAGACTCCCAGAGACCGAGCCGAAAATGGCAATCATTTCCGGGTGCGGGGCTTCAGGCGATGCAAGCAGCCCAGATAGCAAATCAACCTGACCAGGGTTTGGGGTATAGGGTTCAGGGTGTAGGGTGTAGGGTTTGGGGTATAGGGTTTAGGGTTTAGGGTGCAGGGTTTAGGGAATAGGGCTTCGGGTTTAGGGCTCAGGGTTTCGAGTTTATGGTTGCGGGTGTAGGGATTAGGGCTTCGGGTCTTATGGTTTAGGGTTGTTTTGGCTACATCTATCCTGAAATAAATCTAGCTCTCATGCGTCTGTTTTGCACATCCTGCATGCTGAGCACATACACCTGGAGCAAGCGATTGTTGCGACCCTCGTCTTCCGCACACGAGCTACATCTTCTGTCAAGATGCGGGACCGCTTGAGTTGGATGGGCAGTTGTAATGTGAGACATCTGTGGCGTACACGATCACGATTGGTCCCTAAACCCTAAGGCATGCTAGTCATACTGCTAGATCGTCTCAACGAAGCCCGACTGCAGAGACGAGCCTGCTCTGTGAAGGATGCTGAGCCGGAAAGGGAGACCAAGAAAGAGACACCAACAATCAGACAGACGAACAAGACAGAGGACGGCACAAAGAGAGGGAGAGAGAGGTGTAGATATAGTGTAGATGTAGATACGGATTTAAATATAGATGGATACAAAGGAGGGATATGGAACATTTCAGTGAAACTCGTGGGCACCGGATGTGTGTACGTGTGCGTCTGTGCGCGTGACATTGCGAACAGTACGCAGCACGCAGCCTAAACCCTTAACCCAAAACCCTAAACCACGGCCTCATCTTTGTCGGCTGTGTCGGCAATGGCTGCCAAGCAGTGCACTGCATCGGCAAAGTGATCCCGGACAAAGGTCTTGTCCTAGCTGGTGCGGGCCTTGGAGTTCTTCTGCTATAGTGTCACCACATAACAAATGTCGCAACCTTACTTGGCTACTGCTGAGATTTGTGTTTTAATTCTCGAGATGCAGCACCATACCCGCGGGACGCAAGGAGGTTAGGGTCATGCAAGTCAAGGGCTTGCAGGGTTCCGGGGACCGTGAACTCGCAAGTCAAGGGCTTGCAGGGTGCAGGGGACCGTGAACTCCAAACACCTCAACCCTCAATGCCTACGAGCGCTCAAGCGTCAGTCCTTCAATGCGAGCTCGGTCGCATCAGCACACGCCTGAGCATGTCCCGATGGCTTACGCAAAGCTGGTTCCTAGGCTT